AAAGACTTGATTTTAAACTGTCTACGTGATGGCTAATACCTGCTACTGTATTTGTAATCCGGATAAAAATCATATTTGCTCATCTTCATTTTGTCGTGCAAACTCATACGATCGGGGCTGACTGTCCCGAGAATTTAGACCTCTGGTTAGAAGCCTCAAGTTAATGAGCACGTGAGACAGTGTGTGCGTGCGCTACCTGGATTGCTGTGGGCACTCTGTTATGGCAGTTCTCAGAAACTCCTGCTCTTTGCTGTGGAAATGCATTTACTAAAAGCGGGTGCTCATAGGCAACTCAATGCCCTCCGTGCCAGAGGGGTTATGGTCGGGAGAATGGGCCGCAAGTGCATTGCCGAGCTTACTATTCCTGAGCAGGGAGAGAGGACCTCTGTGTGGGAGAGGCACAGTTTGGTCTGATAGGTGACAATATATCACAAGACACAGCACTTTGTTGGAACCCTTCACTGGGGGCCTAAGGATCGATGAAAAGAGCTTTCACGTGAAAACTCCTCAAGTCAAGATCATTTACCTAACAGAGATGGCCTGTAACTTTCCTTGTTGATGCAAAAGATGGGGAAGTTACACCTTTTACTGGCATCCATGCCACTTCAAACCTCATGAAATGTCCAACCACCAACCCAGTCCATCGGCGGCTTTCTTGGGACAGAAAGAAACCTTCAACTCCAGAGAAACCACCAGTCCACATGCAGAAAATGCCAAGGATTCAGTGGCAGTATTTCATGTTATGGCCAAACTTTTTTTTTTTTTTTAAATCATGATCTACCCATATCCCAGTAACAATGTTACCAGAAATAACTTCTACGAACCTTCATGTATTTCAAGCTTTGTGCTATGCACTTGGTTTGCAGTACTGCATTTTATCTTTGAAGCAACCTTATAGAGTAGGTATGATTTTATCGTCTGATCAATGAGGAAAGAGGTTTACAGAGGTGAAAAGGCTTCTCTAAAAAGGCCATTCAGCTAGTAAATGGTAGATAAACTTTAACCAGATTAGCTTGACTAGATCTGAAACTCTTCACCACCACCGCATTGCTTCCCAGATTTTAGTTTGATAAAAACCACTCGTAGCCCTTTTAATACTGCATATTTCTGGCCTGGTGCCCATAGATTCTGATTCGGATATTCTGGGGCCTAGAAAACTGTATTTCTATTAAGCATTCCAGGTGATTCTCATGAAGGTGACTCAAAGCCCACACCTTCAGAGATGCTGCCTTCCCCACCACTGGCTGCCATTTAAAATTGTAATGGATTTGACAAACGTCAAGAAATATTATCACTTCAAAGTAAAAAAAAAAAAAAAAAAGGTAACAGAATTTCTTATTGTGAGAAAATATGTACTGAAGACAAATTATTTCATATCTTATTAAGATGTATTTTCATTCTTCAGGAGAGAACTTAGTGTTCTTAGTAATATTTTCATATAAACGTCACTGTCCCATTTTTTCATAGGCCAGTGTGGTTGCAGAGAAAGACGACAAAGTGGACAGTGGGAGTGTCTGATTTAAGAAAATGAAAACACTACTTATTTATAGCTTAGATAAGCTTTCACCCACGCAGCTCTTCTTATCAGAGGCCCATGACAGCAAAAACACCTAGAAAACTAAGCATTTGAGGAAGAAAATAAATACATGAATGGGGAGGCTGTAAATTATTCATCTAATAACTCAACAAAGGCCCCACATTACATGCTGGGATACAAAGTAGTTAGTAGTCATTGTTTTTGGACTCTCTGAGCAGACAATCTGGATAATTTAAGTATAAAGTCCAATTATAAATCAAATAGGTTAGGGCTTCTTGGCCCTCAACTGTGGATGCTCAAGGCTATATTGGCATTGCCTAAGTGAAAAGAATTAATTTATTCTCTGCCATATGTGATCCCACCCCAGCAGGGTACTCAACACTGTTTGTCAACCTTTTTACTCATTCCTATCCCATTTATCTTAACAGCTATTTTGAATCTTTTCCCATTCCCTTCAAGTTCCCAAGTCCATCCTCAAAGCCCTCACTTTCCATATATTAACTTGCTTTTTATCCCGGCCATCCCTGATTTCTCTGTATTTCCCTTCCTGCCACTTTGAGATTTCTTAATTTTTGTCAAGCACCTTTTTCTTAGCTCAAGATAAAGACAATTTTAACTTCTCTCCAAAGCTAACTCCTCCACCTGAGTATGATCCCATTTTATGCTGTTTCCTAAGGACCTTGTTCTATTCTCAGCAAACAACTATTAGTCACCTATAGCACTCCAGGCTCTCTATTAGGCACTGGGAACACTCAGATGAAAAGACAGAAACCTATCTTGATGCAGCTCACAGGACAGTGTGGAGACAGACAGTAAGAGTGGTGAGCGTAAATGCAATGGAACCACGGTCACAGGACTTGTGTTCCTGTAGCTGGAGACAAAGAAAAACAGCTGAGATTTATAAGACAAATGAGAGTTAATCAGATAGGTAAGTAGGAGCAAGAAAAAGATACAGAGGCTTGAGAATGTGTGGTCAAACAAATATTCTGCCATTCATGGAAAAAAGTCCCGTGGCATGGTTGATATTTTAAGTTTTAATGAGCTCTTGGAGCCCTATTATCAGAATGTATGTTAGAAAGCTCACAGGGGCGCCTGGGTGGCAGAGTGGGTTAAGCCTCTGCCTTCGGCTCAGGTCATGATCCCAGGGTCTTGGGATCGAGCCCCGCATAGGGCTCTCTGCTCAGTGGGGAGCCTGCTTCCCCCTCTCTCTCTCTCTGCCTGCCTCTCTGCCAACTTGTGATCTCTGTCTGTCAAATAAATAAATAAAATCTTTAAAAAGAAGAAGAAGAAAGAAAGCTCACACTCTGGAAATACCACAGTCGAGGATTTAGAATAATATAAAATCAGAGGTCAGAAGCCCAAAGAGTGGGAAAGGTTGGTGACCCAGAAGGATATTGAGTATCTGGTTTGGAGCAAGAGTGGTAGAGAGGGAGAGGGGGAGAGGGAGAGAGAGGGGGCAGGCTGGGGAGAGAAGCATGATATATAAAATACACCTGTAGGTGGTAGTATTACAGAACTTAGTAATTTACTGTACCTCAGGGATAAGAAAGAGAAAAATGCAGGTTGAACTCCAGGTTGTTGGCTTTGGCGACTAATGGTTGTGTCATCGGTGGATAGTGACTGGGCACCCAAGAGGACAGGACAGTTGCATGTGTGGGTGTGAAACTCGGATACGGATCTGAGCATCATCAGTGTAGACAGGCCAGGTGAGGTCACAGCTGTGGGCACGATTACTCAGGGAAAACAAGGGGGTGTGAGAAAGGGGTGAGAGGACAGGTTAGGAAGCCAAGAGAGCCAAAATCAAAGATCCTCAAATGACAAGTGAGCAAGAGCTAGAGAATTTGGAGGGGAACCCGAATTTGATGGCAACATGGAACTTAAAGCAAAAGACGTGCAAAAGGTGAAGTGAGCAGCTGCCAGGCGCTTCAGAGGAGAGAGAGATTTCTGACAGAGTCTGAAAAGTGCTCCAGGCTTCAAGTACATTTCCCTCTTCAATTTAGTTTTTACTCTGCCTTTGACCCTCACATGTGTTTGTGTCGTCCCATGATTAAATAAATAACGAATTTCATCACCACATAGAAATTTTTCAGTTGAACCTACTCGTCCCCAGTATATTCTTTTTCCCTTTGAACTCAGACTTTCCCTTGGCTACTACTGCAGTGAAATTTCCATCTTAAAAGTTGCCAGGAACATCCTTTTCTCACCCACCAGTCACATTTTCAATGCTAGTTCCCATGACCTTTCCCCAGGCATTGTGCTATCTGAGCTCTCTATAACATTTTACAACATGAAGTCCCTTTTTCTGTATTTTCCACTGGCTCTTTCACTATGGATTTGCTTGTCTTAGTTCTCTGGGGATACCTTTACAGTTTCCCCCAGGGACACCCTATTCTTGTGAAGATTGTTAAATAAAACTGTCCCCTCCCCAACTTGATCCCTCATTCTTTCCTCTGTGAAATTCACATTTCCACACATTCCCCACCCCCGGCCCCCTCATGCTCACAAATCGCTAATGTGTAGACGACTTCCAAACAATCCTGAACTAGATTTTCAAGTGGAAAGCTGCATGTAGAAATCCCACCAAATTCAACATGTCCCAATTTAAGTTTGTTTCCTTTTTATCTCCGCCTCCCCAAAATAATTTCCCATTTTCCTGTCCTGTCACTGATGTCTCCGTCCCCTCATACTTCCTGCACGCAATCAGCCCTCAACCTCACTATGGATTCTCTCTCTCTGGTCCTCATTTTCACATCTTCCTTCTAGTATGCAGACCAATTTCAAAACAGGGTATTTAGACATAATACATTGATAAAATTGCAGTTGGTTTATTTCCCATGATAAAATAGTAACAGCAGCCAACATTCATCTAATTTTCACTATATGCTAGGTAGGCACTATTCTTTGCATGATACATGGATTATCTCTTTACTATTTCCTCTTCTATGAATTTAGACAAGCAAGGTAGTTTATTCCCTTTCAAATGCTCTCATATACATTTAGGGATTTCTTTTGTTTTGTACATTAGTCTGACTTATGTTACCAGTTTTTGGATGATAAAAAACCTAAGGATTATATGTTAGTGAACACTAGCTCATTTTGCCACCCAAACTCTATTAATAGGCACTTACACGTCTCTAAAACATAATAACAATCGTGATAGCTCAAGGCACAACTAAATCCTGAAATATCTTCTGAGCAGTCAGTAAAAGATTAAAATATGCTTTATAAAATCTTGGTGCTCACATATTCTCATTGTTCAAAAACTGGTCACCTCTGAGTATTTATGTTCTGTGAGTGACAAATAGATTACTTAATCTCTTTCAGGAGAGTGTTTTGTTTTGTTTTTTCCCCCAATTCTTTGAATGCTGCTAATCCCTGAGGAATAGTTTAGTCCTTTTCTCTTTAGAACCCACAAGCACACACCCATTGCCCATCTTGATGAGTAACAGTAAATTATACTTACTTAAAAAATCCAAATCTCGCAGAAACCTGTAAATCAGCTGAACAATTTTCATGGGCACAAAATCTGGCAAAGTTTATCTGGAAATAAAACATAACAGTATTTTTTGTGGTAATTCAACAATTTGGGATACCTCTATTCTTAAGCATAAGACATCTATGACTTATTTTGCCACTTTTGAATTAGTCACAGGTTCAAATGACAACTATAGGGCTAAAGGAACTGATTCTGCCAACAGGTAAACTGAAAGCCTAAATTTGTTTAATGGAAAACATTATTGCTTCTTTTATAAGTTGTTATGGAAAAAAATGAGTTTAATAAAACAGATAAAGTTTTAGAGGTAAGTGTTTAAAATCTGTGCCGCCAAGATGTTCATTGCTGAGTTCCTTTCAATTTTCTGGTGCTACAGTTTGATCCCACTTATTACAAATAAACATGGCACTTACTTTTCACAGATGGTAGGACAATGGGCTTATATTTATTGAAAACAGTAAAATGTAGAAATTTAGAAATTTTACTCTGAGGACACATTGAACATAGACGTGAATTCTAGAACAGGGTTCTAGAATTTAGTTAACTCAGAGCATTTTAATAGGACCCAGAGATACTCAGAGGTACATGGAAAAACCTGAGGTATAAGATAAAGAAAAGAGAGGAGAATGAGAAAAAGGAAGCTGAGAGGAACAGGTGAAAAGGGAGAGATGCTAAGAAAAATCTAGAAAGTCAGAGAAGGAGCTAGGTTCATTAAATGGGAAATGACTAGCATGTTGTCAAATAGCACATCCAACCACAGACTACCTCAGCCTGGTGAAGCAGAAGGGAAGTGTAAATCTTTCTCTAAATGATTAGGTAAACATGATTTTTTCCCTATCATTCTTACTTGTAAAGCATGGTGCTCTAAAAACCAAAAGGTAGAATTTTATTCTAATGTAACTACATGTCGCCAGGTTTGGGCTTATGTACTTACAACACTGTGGTTTTCATTATTAAACGTAGTTAAGAATAGTTGATATTGACAACTGAAGTTCAACAGAAGGGTGAAAACACTGACTTCCATAGATCTACCATAGATATATTCATAAGGGTATTGAGAAAACTTGCCTTGAGTTATTATGTTCACTTGATCTAGTGTTCTAGAGAATCATGAGTGTCAGCCCAAATTGCTTCAAGTGACTTAGTAGCAATTTGTCTAGACAGGATATGAACTAGCCCTTCGAGTGTCCCTTCTGCCTTCTACATTCCTTGTGCCATGAGCAAATACTTTTTTTTTTTTTTTTTGACAGAGAGAGAGAGATCACAGGTAGGCAGAGAGGTTGTGGGGGCGGGAGCAGAAAGAAGGTGGGGGGGGGGGTCTTCTGAATCCCAGGACCCTGGGATCATGACCTGAGCCCAAGGCAGAGGCTTAACCCACTGAGCCACCCAGGCACCCCTAGCAAATGCTTTTAATGAATGTTTTTACCATGCCCTCAAACATCCTGTTGACTAGGTCTTTGTGTTGTTGGACAGGAAATGTCCAAACAACTGGACTCCTGGGAGTAAGCACACTGCCAGGGAAATGGAGGTATTTTGGAATACATTAGAAAAGGCTGTGCACTGGTTAGAATGCCAGATCCATCTCAAAATGCAATGGATCCTGGGATGTGGCTGCAAAGCCTGTAGTTGAATTTGAAAGAGAAATTGTTGTATAACAGAAATACTTATGTTTATAAATGAGTAAAAGCCAGCAAGGGAATTTGCCTACTGATATATGAATGCATCTGGGTAGAGTGAATGAGAGGGAGACAAAATGAGAGAGAAGGAGTCAGAAAATGAAAAAGGGGAAGAGAAACCTCATGAATGTGACTCACTGTCATTATGAGCACTCCCTAGCAATTTATTTTCCTCATGGGCAAGGAATCAAGGAAAGAAGATTAACATCTCATGTATATGGGAAGCTATTGCTGGGACTAAATGCATATTTTAAAATAGTCAGTTCAATATCCTAAAGGAAATATAGAAATAAAGAAAAATGGAAAACAAGACATACCATAAATCTTTTTATATTAAAAAATTCATTAAAAAAATTTAAAGAAATCAGAAAGATAACTCATTTCCCCGGAATTAGGCAATGTTTCAAAAAAATTACTTTAGCTACATGCACATCACGTTTCGAATAAAGGAAAATATTCTTACTGTTTTTTCAATTATGTCTTTTTCTTTCTTCTGCTGGAGAATTGGCTGAAGTGGTGGGAACTCTTCTGCATTTCGTTTACTGATGACATGATGCCCAAGGTGATAAGCAGCTTCAATCCGAACTGGGGTGAGGATGTCCCGCACATCTTTCTAAGGAAATTTAAAGCCTTAAGTTAGAAATAACAACAAGTATGTAAATAAAAACATACATAGAAAGTTCCTCCATCCCTGAATTAAAGTCAAACAACATGGAAAATAAAGTATTTACCTCTTCCTCCAAATTGTTAAAATACACTGAATGTGTATATTTTTTCACATTACAAAAAGCATGCATGTTTATTAGAAAAAAACACAAAAAGAGCATAAAATTAAACATATCCAGTCTGTGGTATAGTTTTATATTTGGACATATAGTCTTTGATTTGGATATTTTCTATGCATACTTTTTATCAATTGACATAAGCATTTTCCATTATGAACTCTTTGTAGATCACTTCAAAGTACTAATCAGCATTTTATTCTGTTTAATATTTCCCTGTAGTAAACTTGTAGAAATAAGGTATCTCGATTTATTCTAGTTTCTTTTTATATGTCTCAGTAACATTTTAATTCAATTTGATTCATTTGCTTTCATATTTATTATGAAATGTATCTATTTTCTATTATTTATGGAGCTTTTCTAATTATATTTTAAGAAGGTTATAAATAATATGTGGAAAAGTTATTTGTTTTATAGATTTAATCTTTTATCCTAGTCACTTTACTGAATTTTATTAGTTGTTACAACTTTTCTAAGTTTATTGTGCTTTTACACTTCACAAAGAAAATTCTTGGATTATTTATCAATTACAGAGGAATTTTACCCATCTGGGATCCATTCTGATTTCCATTCTACATGACATTCTTTTAAATTTAATATCTTACACTAATTTTTACACAGCATTTCTCATTCATAATCTTATTTATATGTGGTCAAAAAGCCTTTTTGAATGATTTTTTAAAAGACTTTATTTATTTGAGACAGAGATAGCAAGAGACAGCACAAGTGGGGAGAAGAGGGAGAAGCAGGCTCCCTGATGAGCATGCAGGGCTCCATCCCAGGACCCTGGGATCACAACTAGAGCAGAAAGCAGCTGCTTAACCAACTGAGCCACCCAGGCACCCCTTTTTTGGATGATTTTTAAATTTATTTTATTCTGCCCCCAGAGAAACAGCTATTGAGTTCATTACACTCATTGTCAATTCACATATTTTAATCTGAGTTTCCACGTGCAGGCATTATTTTTCTCTTTTAAAAATATCTTCCCATGTACTTAAAGATTATTTGATTATTCACCAGCCTCCTACTGCAGAATATACCACATAGTGTCAAAATTGTTTGCTAACATACATATATACACAAACAGTAAAATAGCTGGCAGGAAAGTAACTTTGAAAGCTGTTGTTCTCGAATCTCATGCCTTTGCGGGGGGAAAAAGTCAGTAATGCATAAAACATGGTACCTCTTAGAAAGCACTTAACCTGGCCCTCTCTAGACAGAAATGAGATTTTCAAAGTGTACTGAACAAAACAGACACCTTTATTTTTCTCATTGTCTAAGTAGGTGGGCAAGTAAGATTTTACTGATGAAGTAATCTATGAGGATTTATATCAGAATTCAGGAGACAAATTTCATGAAATAAGACATGTTGATGGCAAATCTATAAAACAAGTATCTTAAGCACCACAAAAATTAAATGGAGAAATAATCTCGGGATTTGAGAAGGCAGTTAACAATCAGGAAAGACTATCTACTTGGAGCTACGCAGTTTTTTCTTTTAATACTAGAATTATTACTATACTTTGATGTGTGAGCTTTACATCACAGTTTGATCCTACCTTTCAAATACCCATTTCAATCTACAGGTTATTCTCATTTTATTTATATATTTGTTTGTTTGTTTTTAAGTAATCTCTATGCCCAACATGGGACTCGAACTCACAAACCCTGAAATCAAGAGTCGCATAGTCTACCAATTGAGACACCCAGGCACCCTGGTTCCTATTTTAAGAAGGAAATTCAACTAAGTTCCTTTTGACCATTTAAGAGTCTTATGCTCTACCGACTGAGCTAGCCAGGCGCCCTCCTTTTGACCATTTAAAGAGACTCAAGTGTTTGCACCAGGGCTAGACATATTACCTTAAAGCATAACTGAGGTTTATGTTTATTCAATTACTGAGTAGATCCATGATTTTTTCATTAACAGAGCTCCTAGTAAGTAACATTAGTGGCCCAGGTTTTTATTAATTACAGACATTTCAAGATTGGAATATGGCTTAAACATTAGTGCCTAACAGCAAATAAAGAACAGATAGTTTGTAAAGCTCATCAATTAGTAATCCCTAACGGGTATGGGAAAAATGCCTGTAATACAGATGACGGCTGCGATATAGCAGCTTGATAAAAATCAATGAAGTAAATTAATCATGATGATCTATTACATAAAAGACTACATCTACTCTATCTTTATGTAAATAAAGATGTAATTTTTTTTTCTTTTTACAATATTTATAACTATCAATATATGTATATAGTGGCTAAGAGCAAGTGGTCTGTAGGTACAGAGGTTCCAATCTCAGGTGCAACACTTACTAACAACTTGGACAAATTACTTCATCTGTCTATGGCTTAGTTACCTCATCTGAAAAATGGAAAGAAAGACAATCTTATGATACCTGTATCTACGGCTATGAGAATTCAGTGGCATGAGGTTTGCAAAATACTTAGCATAACACTTGGCACTTAAGAGTTCGATAAATGTTAGATATTGACTTATTATATATATGCTGCTTCAAAATATAGTTACACCAACCAATCAAGAAATTAATGAATTTCAGTTTCTAATAAGAAAAGCAGGTGAACAATTGGAAGGAATAAAAAAAATAGAAAATAAAATCAGACCATTGCCAGTCAATGAGTATGAAGTAGGAAATGAGTTAGATACCAAGTATTAGACTTGCATTAATTAGCTAGTACCTGGAAGATTTGGAGCATGAATCAGAGTACGCAAGATCTCTTAGTACTTTTCCATTCTTATACATGGAGATGATTTTATTAAAGTACTTGATAAGTAATCATCTCAACATGAAACTTGGACCATATAGGAATGCTGCAAATCAAGGCCCAAATCCCAAGTTATCAACTTGTGAAAACGGAACAGCTTGAAACCTTGAGTATTACAATAGCAAACTTGATTAAATTATTCCCTAGGTGTAGGAGCTAGACAGCCACTGATTGTCCCTCCACATGTCCACTGTTTTAATTCTTCTCAACAAGCTTGCTTTGACCAAATCGCATGTTATCTAATTCATACTAATTTTCCACAAGGTCTTCTCTACATCTGGTGTATATTACTTTCATTATCCTAATTAGCTATTAATTATGCTTTTCTCACAATATATAAAATGTACGTGCACTCTTGCAAGAACTGTATTTGACAGATATTCACACTTACTTAACTTTAACAGCTCCACCTAAGACAAAGGCTAGAATATCAAAAATGTCTTGAAATGACTAATTAAGTATTTGGGAGGGAAAAAGTAGATTTGCTTAAAATTCTTCATTTGGATGGGCATGTGCTATCTATATTAAAAATAATGAAGATTCCATGCCACATTTTTATGGACAATTACATAAAATAGGGCAACCCACAAGCGTGCAAATGAGCACATGTCTGAAATTACACAAAGTCCACCTTCTTGTTTGACTTTTACAGAAATTCATATTTATGGCCACTAGAGGACTGAGCCATAGGCCCGTGTCTTCCTCCTGTGTGTATGCAATAAAAAACCCAAAGGGTGGAGCCAGAAATGTTTACAAAGTTTACTGAATGAGAAAGGACAACGAGGTATAGACATTGCAATGTATCTATGCATGGGTCTGCTGTGTGGAAAGAAGACTTTGGGGATACAAAACCGAAAGTCTATACCTCTGTCACAATCCATAATAACCCAGAAATCCACACGCAGTGTGGGGGATGAGCATTCTGATGGATGTATACACAAGTACAGAAGAAGGAGGGCCACCAATCTACAGTCAAAAGAGGATGAGAAGGTCTTAGGAGAATTTTAAGCAAGGAATATAATCAGGTTTATGATTTTGAAATACCCCTCTGTTACAAATGTGGGAAATGGGTTGGGGAGGGAGAAGGAAAGGCAGAGGCACAGACTGCAACTGAAGCCAGCACCACCACTTGTGACGATAACCGCTCTAGCTAGTCAGCTTGGTTTAGGGAGTGGAGAACGGTCTGGCACAACCAACACCTTGAGGAAAGACAGCACCCCCAAAGCAGGTGCTAGAACTGTAACACCAATACAACATTCTCAGCTTTTCCTTTATAGAATTCTTTAAACAGCACTGAGAACACATCATCTATAAATTTTAAAAATATTTATTGATTTCTACCTCATGTAATGAGTCAGATTATCTCTAAGGAAGAATACAAACATGCAAAAAGTAGTATTCTGTCTTCAAAGATCTTGCAAACTAACAAAGAATTAACATATGCTGGAATAATGGATCCAATTCTTGACTACTATAACATCAGAATAGTTGCATAGGTCGGTTGTACTTAGATTTTCAGCAGAAATGTATGCATATATGGATCAGTTCATAGTCTGCTGTGTAGACTGAGCTATATACTTGTACAGCTGAACAACATAAACAAATAAATAAAATATAATTTACTAATCAAACATATATTCATTCCCTGGAAGGTATTTTTGAAAAAGACGGGCTTTAGAAGTTACCTAAACACTTACATAACAAAATAAAATTTCTTGATTTCAGAAATCCAAATATCTAGAAATTTGAGAAATCAAGGGAAAGAATGAACTAATCTACTGTATATGTAGGCAGGTTGATTTCATAATTACACAACATGCTAAGGCCACTGAACTCACTGGATCTCTGAATATCAATGCAGACAGGCATTCCTGGTCTGATGACTAAGCTATGTATTTCTAGCTTTTACTGGAAATGTTGCAAGCAGGGTGAGAATCTTGTTACTTTATTTGTTGTCCCACTTTACCACCCCTTCTTCTCTTCTCAAACATCAGTGAATATTTTGATGTAGAGATTCCAACAAGATCAACCAAAAAAATCTCTATAA